CATCAAACATTCGAGTTGATGTTTAAGTGGAGTTCCCATTGCATAAGAAAAACGAAAATTTCGTCATAGGTAACAATCAACATATTCTTATTGATGATGATGTATCTCATTTGCAGAATAAACATCTTAATTCCTTCGCTGATAATTTAGGTTATTCTTCTCTCAATGGATGGTCTCATCCACCGATTCCGACCGCTTTCCCTCAACACTATCACCAAAATTTAACATCTGCGATCCCACACAAAAACTACAACTCCCTTGATTCGAACTTAGAAACTACTTAAAATCTTCTAATTTTCGAACCTCCCACATCCAAAATAACCTCAACATATCCACTCATTAATATTAATCCCTATACCATTATATGACCTATAACACCCCAATCCCTAAAGAATCTGATGTTGAAGAGAATATTGTATGAGATGAGGTTGTACACGATCATAAGATAATCACTGGTGGTCAGGAGACAAAGCTCGAACAGGTAATGGTTCAATCTCAACTATCTTACTTTTTTGGACAAAATAATATCAGCATCACAAATAAAAACACCATTAATCAGTTTCAGGATAGATTCGTGGAGAGCATACATTTTAAAAAAGCTAAAAAAATCAAATGGAAATGAACAAAAACAGAAGACAGGCAAGTTTTCTTAAATCATAAAAATAAAATTTTATTTCATTTTTGATATTCTCATATATTGTTGGTATGGTTTTTTATTTTTGGAAAAAATACAAATGTATAGGATATTAAGGAAAATGGTGGAACGCTATGGAACCAAAAAATGGTTAATAATTTCAAAGATGTTTGAAGGACGACAAGGAAAACAATATAGAGAGAGGTGGCAGAACTATTTTCGTCCTGACATTATCAAGGTGATATTTTTTAGTTTTTCATTCCTTTTATCTTTATATAAATATTTTTATATGTGTTTAATGTGTGCACGTGTTTGTATGCATAGTCATGACTTTATATATGTATCGTTAGGCATGACTTTATATATGTATCGTTAGGCATGACTTTAATATGTGCACGTGATATTTTTTATTGTTTGTTTTTGTATATGCATATGTTTGTGTTAGGTTGACTACTTAGTCGTAATAATTTCAAAT